TTCCTGCTGCTGGAAAACAGTCTCTTTTAACTCAGGCAAATGATATGACCTTTGTGCTGTTCTTTTGATACAACTATGCAGGCTGACATTTTTTCAGAAATTTAATCTTGTGGTAAAATAATAATGAAAAGCAACACATCAGAAAGATTATAAGAGAAAAGATGGATGCTAAATCGTCAGGTGTTTGCAGTGCCTTCAAATCTGTAAGGTTTCCTTGAGACTTCAAAATAAAGGTACAGAACTAAGGGAAAGCAGAGATGCTCTCAGACTCTCCCTCCTTCCCTGGATGGATGCCTGCTACCCATGGGGACCAGAGTGATGGTCACTTACCCAAGTCATGGGCCACCCCACCAGTTGCCTCCAGCTTTCCAGATGCTTCCCACTGTCTAAGCCATAGAAACCACTTGGAAAAGGAGGTGCAGATCTGACCCAGTGACCATACACCATGTCCCTAGACACACACCCCACACACAGAGCCTGTAACAAAGTCCTGAGCAATTGCTAAATGATAGCAAATGCTGTCAGGCAGCATTTGGCTTCATTGAAGCCATAAAATGGCTTCAATTTCAGTTCAAAGATTGCAGTCAGGAATCAAGCAACAAAACAGCTTCTCTGAATGAGTGTTGGTAGCAAGAGGTGAAACATGAAAAAGAGGAAACACACAGAGAGAGGTGTATGTTCATGCACGCGGGAGTACCATTATCTTGTGCTGTGCTGCTGATCATTTTCTCACTTCATTTCTTCCCCAACATTTTTTGGGCCCCAATATCCTTCAAAAGCTTACACCATGTATAAAAAAAATGACAATTCACCATACCTCAGGGCTCCAAGCTGATGAGCTGTCAGTAGCATCATTTACTTCCAATCCCTGGTTGGTAAATGGTGTCTCCGTTTCCAAACATCCATCCATGGCTTGCTGGCTAATGCCATCAACAATGCTGGGCTCCATCCTGGGCCCTTTACACTGCCCAGCTCCCCTGCTTTCAATTGTTGTTCTTGAATCAACAGATACATGGTCATCTTCACGACAGAATAGGTTGTCTTGGTAACTCAGTTGGCTTAGTCCATCCAGATCTAACAATTTTCAGCAAGAAAATAATTTCAGAGGGATTACAATAAATTCCTCCCACTCTACCTCCAAAAACATACACTTCTCTCTTTTAATTTTTTTCCCCCTCATCTCCAGTGTGTGCAAGAGTTTCTACTTCTGGATGCTGCAGCACTGAACTGATAAAATATCAAATCCTGGATAAATCAGCATTTGATGGAGTGGATATGGCTGCTAGTCACCCCATTCTGAACTGTGACCATTTGCCTTTACTTGAAGAAGTCAACCACCAAATGCAATTACCAGTGGAGCATTTGGGATATTAGAGTGCCTTGGGGCTGCTTTGTGGCCCCAAAGCAATCACTTCCAAGAAAACACAGGTCAGACAAATTATAGAAAAGCACAACAAAGGTCTGATCAACAGGTATCAGCAATTTCTGCCTGTGCATGAGGAGAAGGAGGGAAGGACAGGAGTTAGCACTGCCCTCGAGGGGATAGTGCTGGTGAGGAAAGGAGCTTCAGAGAGATAACAGAGTGCCACCATAACCTTGTCACCCATCCCTGGGAGCTTGGGTGCACATGAACAGCCACACAAGCCAACGAGGAATCTCCAAATTTGGGCTAAATTTGGACTAAATTGTCCAAGGGCAACTGAGAAGAGATGTGCTCTTCAGTTTTCTGCCTGTTTTTATTAGTTTTAATTTGTCTGATCCTACACACTTACACCATGGGTTAAAGTAAGGTTCAAAATAAAGGTACAGAACTAAGAATAAACTAATCTTCTCTAGGTCAGACCACAGATTCTTTCTCTGCAGCACTGAAGTCTCTATTTTGAACACAGAGCATTTGCTCTACTTGAAGGCATCAGTGAGAGCTCTCTGGGCAGAGTGACACAGATAATTACATGTGCAGGAACACAGAGGAAAATATCACGATTTGGCCTTGAATATCTTCTGCAAGCACTTTCAGAAGAAAACAGGGACCTCTGTCCTCCTAATTTATCCAATGCTAGGCCTTTCTTGAGGAAGACAAAGAGTTGGATTCTGCCTCCATCGCTTTCAAATAAGCAAGGAGCAGTTGCAGTGAAAGAAAACAAGTTGTGCTTCCAGACAGCTGATGACAGTAATGAAAACAGAATTACTTCCTTTGCAAACACAGCTATTGGGGGTTTAAAGCTTTCCCAGAATGGTTATAATTGGAAGGGATCTCTGGAGGTCATTTTGTTCACATCCTCCTGTCCAAGCAGAGCCACCTGCTTGTTTGTTCTCAAGCAGGTCATTACTATAGAACCATTATTTTTTTCAAATTTGGCCTCCAACCCAAATCCTTTTAAAATAGTATTGATTCCTGTACTTAAGAGATAACGATTAGTTTGTTTTGGGTTGCTAGAATCAATGCTTTCATTCCCCACCTGATAAATGAGAGAGGGAACCTGGTGACATCTGACATGAAGGAGGCTGTGGTACTCAACAAATTTTTGCCTCAGTTTTCACCAGCAATTGCTCATCCTACATCTTTCACTTCCCTTGTTGTCGGACCTGAGTCAAACGGTGACATCCCTGAATCTCAATGCAGGGACTGGAGGAATGAAGTCCCACCGATCATCAAAAGATCACATTTGAGATCCTCTGAGAGACCTGAACATATGTGTGTCCATGGGATCTTTTAAGATGCATTCCAGGGCCCTGAGGGAACTAGCTGATGTAGTTGCTAAGCTGCTCTCCATCACACTTGAAAAGTCATGGCAGTCAGGCAAACCCCCGGTGACCAGAAAAAGGGGAACTCCACACATTTTTTAAAAGGGTAGAAAGGAGGATCCTGGACACTGCTAATCAGTCAGTCTCACCTCTGTGCCCAGTAAGATCATGGAATATATCTTCCTGGAAGATGTGTAAAGGCTTACAGATGACAGGAAGGTGATGAGATACAGTCAATATGGCTTCACAAAGGGCAAACCCTGCCTGCCTAATCTGGTGGCTGCCTACAATGAAGTGGCCACATTGGTGGATAAGGGAAGAGGAACAGATGTGTGGGAAACTGTTCTTCTTTCCCAATGCCTCTGTGACAGCATCGGCTCGCAACATCATGTCATCTAACTTAACTTCTGTAAGGCCTATGACATGGCCCCACAGAACATCCTTGTCTCTAAATTAGACAGATACAGATTTGATGGATAGTCTTATCTGATGGATGAGGAGTTCACTGCAATGCCTCATACAAAGTGTTGCAGTTAGTGGCTCAACGTCCAAATGGAAATCAGTAAAAAGTGGAGTCCCTCTGGGGTCCATCTTGGGACCAGTACTGTTCAATATCTTTACTAAGGACCTAGACAGTGGAATTGAGAGACTCCTCAGCAAGTTTACAGATTATATCAGGCTGAGCAGTGCAGTTGAAACACTTCAGAGAAGGGATGTCATCCAGAGGGACTCTGACAGGCTTGACAAGTGCCCAATGTCACTGACATGAAGTTCAACAAGACCAAGCACAAGGTTCTGCACATGGGTCAGGACAAACCCCAATATCAGTACAGACCAGAAGTTGAATTGTTTGAGAGAAGCTCTGCAGAGATGGACCTGGGGATACTTGTGAATTAAAAACTGGATATGAGCAAGCAATATGTGACTACAGCCCAGAAAGCCAACTGTATCCTGGACTGCATCAAAAGAACCACTGTCAGGAGGTCAAGGTGATTCTCCTCCTCTACTTCCCTTCAGTGAGAACCCACCCGGAATGCTGTGTCCAGTTCTGGGGTCTCCAACACAAGAAAGACATGGACCTGTTAGAGCAGGTCCAAAGGAGGGCCACGAAAATGCTCAAAGTGCTGGAACATCTCTCCTATGAAGAAAGGTACAGAGAGTTCAAATTATTCTACCTGGAAAAGAGAAGGTGTCAGGAAGACCTTTTGGCTGCTTTTCAATACTTAAAGGGCACTTATAAGAAAGATGGAGAGAGACTTTACAAGGGAGTGTAGTGATAAGGGCAAGGGGTAATAGTTTTAAAATAGGAGTGGGTAGATTTAGATTTGATATAAGGAAGAAATTCTTTACTGGTGGCAAGACTCAGGAACAGGTTGCCCATAATAGTTGTGTTCATAGAAGCTGGAAGTGCTCAAAGGCAGATTGGATAGATCTTTTAACAACCTTGTCTAGTGAGTGTCCCTGTCCATGGTAGAGGGGCTGGACTAGATGATCTTTAAAGGTCCCTTCCAACCCAAGCCATTCTGTGATTCTCTACACATACCCTCTGTCTAGAACAAACAGCCCAAATCTTTCTGAATACGAGAAATTCTAGGTTTGGCCTTAGCAGAAAATGTGCTGTTTCTGATTCATACCTGCTCTACAAAAACAACCAAATCAAACCAAACCAACAAACAAAACCACAAGGAGAATGGGGACTGTACTCAGGAAACATTTCCTGGAGGTGTGCAGAAGTCCTTGCCCCTTTCTTTGGCTCTTTTAATTTAACAGCTCAGACACAAGGAGAATAACTTTATCCCCATTCTTCAGCTATGAATGGTCTCACATTCTCCCTCCCACTAAAATGCTTCAAGCATGGGCACTTCAAAAGAGAAGTCTGAGAGCACCCCACAGCTTTGAAATTATGGTCCTCTTCTGAGAGTGGCAGATGGTCCTTCAGGAGGAAAGAGGAATCCAAATTCAGACCTCTCAAATTCCAGGTGAGTGCTCTTCTCCATTCTGAAATGTAAAACCTACCTCTTCTCCTCTCCATCTAGCAGACCTAGACCTGAAACTAAGAGCCCTCATTGTTTCACCTCTGCCCTGAGCTGAAACTCTTGAGTGAGGGTAGAAAGTAACTTGATTTTTTTGCCATTACTCCCATTCTTCTCTACAAACTCTGAAAACAGAAAGGAGTAAACATAAGAACATAAGCAAGAAAAAAAACAAACAAACAGAAATTCCACAAATTTACTGAGACTGAATGGGTACAGGAGCTCCTTAGGGCATTTAATTAGCAAGCCAATGTCTAATACACATTTTAAACAGTGGGTCATCCATCAAAGCACACACCACACAGCAGGCTTTCAGAATAAAATGCTACTGTAGTAAGAAATTATCCTCACACAATTGTCTTGTGGTTTTGACTCCTGCTGGGATAATATCTAGATCAATAATAGAGGAATTTTCAAAAATGACATTAAAACCATAAAAAGCTGTTCATAACAAGAGAACTCCAGAAATATATTAATAGAGTAAGCTATCTCTCCAAGATTCAGGCACAAAATTAATGTGTTAGGAAAGCAAATGTAACATTCAGGGAAAGGAAGGGAAAAGGTGATTCACCAAAACCATTTAGTGGAACAGTCTGGCTTTTTCTTTAAAATTAAAGTAGTTTGGTAGGAGATAATCACTTATAAATACCAGTATTAGAGGATCATTACAGGTAATAGCCCAACTATACAGAGTAGAACAACTACACCTCTTCAATTACATCCGTTCTAACATTGTATTCAGCAAAAAAATGGTCAAAACAGAAGTTCTCCATGTAAAGGAAAAGGTCAGAACAGTAAAGTGCCTGTAATTTACCTGAGACGTCTTTAAGGAAGAAATGTCAACTGTCTTATGAATACTTGATATGAATAAACAGCACAGCATCAGGGATATATGTTGAGACAGCATTATCTAACTATCTGAACTTTAATTAGCCAAGAGTCCCTGCAGAGCAATAGCAGCCAATTCTGAAATGAAGGGCAGACAGCACTGCACACCAACAGAATGCTCTTTTTTTTCAGTCCTATGCCCAACTTTTCCCTGTTGTGTCATGCATAATCACCAGCCAAGAAGGACAAAAGGGGAATACTGGGGAATGGAAATCACCAACAAATCAGGAAAGTCTGTATTTAAGGAGGGAGAACTGGCTGTGAAATAGCTGTGACTATTGCCAGATAAAAGGATGAGCATCACCTCTGAACAGGTACTGGATGTGGCAGTATCTCTGTAATGATACAAGGAAACCTCAACACATCAGACACTGAAAATCAGTGCAGTCCCCTCTCACGTTGGCAGGT